GTATCATAACCCATCATAAAGAGGAAAAAAATCTCTGTTTAACTTTTTAATTTCCAATTTTAATTTAAGTAGATCAACCAAAAGAGTTTTGGTTTTTTTTTTTTTTTTTTTTTTTTTTTAAACTTGTAACCTGGAAAGATTCATATGGAAAACAGGGAGCCCCACCGTGCCATTCTCACATAGTCCTTTTTTCAGAGGCTACCCACATTTGACAGAGAAGGGTGAGACACAATCAAAGTTATAAAGACCTGAAATTTTTTTTACAAATATTTAAGTAAATATGGTGTGATATATATCTCCTACCATGCCATCTGCTAAAATTTAAAAGATACAGATGTCTTCCCATGCCTGAGGTATTTAACATATTCTATATGTCAGATAATATTAATAGTCATGGAAGCTTACCTAAAGTTATTAAGTTGTATTTCCACCTTTTTTTTTGCCAACTGTTCTTTCTGGTAGTTTTTAGTTTGCTAAAGCTACTAGGACAGCCATACTTGGATACAGTATCAACCACTCAATGGCTTTCATTATGTTGCTTCATCACTTGGGGAAATTCTGAAACTATGTGCAATGAAAAGGCAACTGTCTGTGCTAAGGTGAAGATGAAGACAAAATGAGCAAGCTTAGAGACCTCTCTCCCAACTCTCCAAATCAGGGTTGAGGTATACACACGCACAAGGAACTTTTGCTGTATCTTTCTGTGAACTTCAGTCTCCAGGGCTCTCAACCCATCAACTCTTACCAGCAGTAAATTCACAAAAGCATATAATTTAAAGAGAAAGTTCACTAGTGGACTACAGTGTGTGAAGTTTTAGCATAGATTAAAGTTTGCCATACACTTAAATAAAAAGTGCTCAAAGATAGGGTTTGAGGACGTTTATGTCTAAGCCTGCTTAAACATACTTTGTATACTATAAAATAAGAATTATCTCCAAATTTTTAATAAGTTACTACCACCCAAATTATTGTTAGTTTAAAAGCTGATTTTAATGGGAGTCCATCATAACATTCTGAAGGACTTAGGCAATAAATATTCAAAACAATATTTCCATATAAACACTTGGCCATCATATTACCCATTTGGATCTCTCATAAAATTGCCCAGTGACTAATTTTACCAAATTACCAATTTCACAGATGGATAGAACATTTATTCAATATCACTCATCTGATCCCAGAGGTCAAATACATATAAAAATCTATAGATGGATCTAAAATTAAGTTTTAAAGGGTTTTTTGTTACATGATCATATTGGAGTGTCAGCGAGATAAAGAGCAGAAATTGCTACCTCATTTGTGATAACTGGCAGCTCTGAAGCCAGATTCATCCACTGAACAGCTGCAGAGTTATTCCCCAGGTCTCTGTAGCACTGTAAAGAAAAATGGCAATAGTGAGAAGTGTCAAGAAACAGGAAAATAGAGGTCAGTCAGCAACTCTGAGGGATTGGAGAAACCAGCTTGTAATTGATGAAAAGGGCTCTTCACACCTGCCAAATACCTACATTCAGCAATTCAGCTCTGCCATCTTTCCTGTAAACCCCTTCATGCAAAGCACTATAAACGATACCACGTCACTAAATAATTAATTTATTTTTGATAGGTAGTTTTACAGTCCCTTATTCCTCCCCCAATATGGGCACCATTTCCCTGACCTTGTTCTTATCTAGAAATATACCATCTATTTTTCTCACTGTTCTCACTATTCCTTGAGTCACCTAGATAGCCAGTGTGCAGTATGGACTCCCATACCTACAGAGTAAGTGTGTCATTTTATCACGTGCCTTTGTCTTCAACAGCCTGGAAACAAGCATCTCAAATTCAATTCCAAGCTCTGACACCTACTGTCAAACTTGACAGACTTTTAAAATTAGACTTTCTAAACCTCCTTCCCCCACCTTCAACAGCACCAAAAACAGTTATCCCATTGGCATAAGCAGGCCCAAGTTTTCTTAAAATGAACTCTAACCCCATCTAAGCAAGTGGGGCAACTCTTTCCAATGCTGACTGCAAGAGAAGCCATGTTCTGGACCCTCTGTATTATGTAGCAAGCTGGAATTAAATTCTGCAGCAGAGCCCTCGAGGTTCTGTAGTGCTCTAGATTAGTTTAGAACATATTCTGGAGAAGCTTCAGGTAATTTTAATAAAAATTTCAAATTTTTAATAGGTGACTAATGCAATTAGTATACAATTCCTTCTGATTTTAGTTCTCAATTAAATTCAGTTATTTTTACACTGCCCCATAATTTTCATTTTTCTCGTGCTACATATTTATGCCCATAACTCCTAACTGTCTTGTAGAAATTGTCATGGAGGAAAGCTGGAGGCTTTGGCAGCTGGATAGCAACATTTGAACTTCTAGTTCCCAGAGAGTAATGGGAGGCAGTTTGAGATTGTGGGACATGCATGTTATCTAGAGAGATTGTTGCTACACAGCATCAGCAGTGAAAGTTAGCAATGCTGATGTTTGTTATTAGTTTCAAGAGCTGACACTCCATTGGGATTGATGGGTCAGTTCACACCTCTCAGAGCTACTGTTTCAGGCTCTTAAACTTAATGGCATCTTTAATTATAGTTCACATTTTAAAATAGTTAAGGGCCATAAGTTTTTGTTTTTAAGCTTGGACTCAGGAACACAAACTGTCAATGGATAGATTCTGCTACATATTTATGAATTCAGGAAGTATCATGTTTGATACTTGTCCAAAATGCTCCAGTTCTCAGCATTAGGTCCAGAGCAGGGGTCGGCAACCTTTCAGAAGTGGTGTGCCGAGTCTTCATTTATTCACTCTAATTTAAGGTTTCGCGTGCCAGTAATGCATTTTAATGTTTTTAGAAAGTCTCTTTCTATAAGTCAATAATATATAACTAAACTATTGTTGTATGTAACGTAAATAAGGTTTTAAAATGTTTAAGAAGCTTAATTTAAAATTAAATTAAAATGCAGAGCCCCCCGGAACGGTGGCCAGGACTTGGGCAGTGTGAGTGCCACTGAAAATCAGCTCACGTGCCGCCTTCGGCACGCGTGCCATAGGTTGCCTACCCCTGGTCCAGAGTCTCAGAAAGCAATGCACAGCAGGTTTCTTTTCCTCTTCTGCATTTTGACCCCTTAGTTAAATTCTACTTCATTCAAAGTAATTAAATATCAAGTTAATTTAGAAATCCTATGATCAGATATTCAACTCAAGACGACATTGTGGGATTTGGGGAAAGAGACAAAGCACACTGGGACCCCTACCAAATTCTCTGGCAGGTTGTCTCTTCAGAATATTCCCTCTTCTAAACTCAAGCACTTCTATCAGAAACATCGTGTGTGTTTTATTAGGATAACAGTTAATCTAGTCATTATGGGGAGGTGTGACAAAGTGGGAATTTTCTGTAATATTTTTTAGGACTCCTATGTGTGCCACAATTTCCTCCTATACTTTGCACTACTACCCAGTGGTGGTGGGGAAAAGGATTAAGTTTGTTCTCAGGGAAGATTACAACACATGGGGGAGGGGAGAATGTCTGTGTGTGGTTTGAGCAGACAGCATGGGTCATTAAAAGGACTGGCCCAGGCCTACCCATATCAGTAGACAATCCAACAGAACAATGGAAAACCCCAATCACCATAACACTGACACCTAACCACCAACAACCCCGAGGGAGGAGGATTTCCCTGCCCCTCAGCAGGGAAGCTGAGCAGAGACCCCAGCTTGGGAAAAAAAGGACAGATGTGTCAGGTGGGGGAAAAGAGCTGGTTTCTGGGAGAGGCTGGGACTGACTAAGGAAGTCAGAGACAGAGCCTGAAAATGGAGTTCAATGCAACTTGGCTGGTGAATTGCTCTGGCTTGACTAGAATGGACTATGTTTTAATCTTTCTCTGTGCTAGCTTAAAGACATCCAATGCTGGGTTCCAGTTCACTGCTTGGATGTCACTGCAAATACTTGCTGAGGCGCATTCATCCCTGAAGATTGTACAAGTCTCTACCAGGTGTCTATCTTGGGCCTGGTCTACACTACAAAGTTAGGTTGAGGTAAGGCAACTTACGTCGACCTATGTCAGCATCTACACTACAGCCTTGCTCCAGCCATAAGAACGGCCATACTGGGTCAGACAAAAGGTCCATCTAGCCCAGTATCCTGTCTACCGACAGTGGCCAATGCCAGGTGCCCCAGAGGGAGTGAACCTAACAGGTAATGATCAAGTGATCTCTCTCCTACCATCAGTCTCCACCCTCTGACAAACAGAGGCTAGGGACACCATTCCTTACCCATCCTGGCTAATAGCCATTAATGGACTTAACCTCCATGAATTTATCCAGTTCTCTTTTAAACGCTGTTATAGTCCTAGCCTTCACAACCTCCTCAGGTAAGGAGTTCCACAAGTTGACTGTGCGCTGTGTGAAGAAGAACTTCCTTGTATTTGTTTTAAACCTGCTCCCTATTATAAGCCAATATAAGTGCCCTACTACATCGACATAACTCCACCTCCACAAAAGGCATATGGTTTATGCCAGTGTAGTTAGGGCCATACAGTGTCTGTGTAGACACTCCATTACTTACATCAGCTGTTGGCTGTTATTCTTGTCAATTTCATGGCTCCATGGCCGTGAAATTGACAAGGAACGCTGGTAGGTTCCCTTCTGTATAACACCCCCGCCCCCCCGACTCACAGCTGTGCTGTCAACCTGGGGGGGGGGGAGGAGGGGAAGGGGCTCTCAGCTCCCTGCAGAGCTAATTAGCTGGTGCCCAAGTTGGGCTCCCAGCGCTTCCCCCTTTCCCCCCCCAGGCAGCTGCCGGGCTCCCTGCCCAAAGCCTGGGTGGCAGCTGGGCAGCTCCACGGGGAGCTGAGAGTCCCAGCAGCAGCCAGGCTCCTGGCAGGGAGCTCTGCGGGGAGCCAAGAGCCCAAGGTATCAGCCCCCATACTTCCCCTCTTAAGTCGCTGGAAGTGCTCCTGGTGAGGACGTGCACCATCGACAGAAGGGGTGTAGTATCGACACAAAAAGTGCAGTAATTACTGCGGTGGCTGTAAGTCGACCTATTTTGTAGTGTAGACATGCCCTCGCAGTTGGATTCACTGAACAGAGCTCACCATGTGAAGCAGAAGTTCTGGAAGCCAGAGGCTCAATCTAGGAAGCAGTGAGGTTGCAGGGCCTATCCTGAAGGAAAAGTGGGACTCCTTGAGGTCTGGCACACTGGAGGGTTTCCTCCAAGAGACTATTTAAAAGCTGGGGCATAGCGCAGATCCTGTGGATCTGTGACAGGCGGTCACAATTTAACCACATTAAAGTCCTAAATGAGATTTTTTCCTGTAACTCTTAAAATGTTAGCTGAATAATTAAAGGTAAAGCATAAGATTTTCCAATTATGGGACTATGCAAAAGTTGCTGCCCCCTTCTATTAAGCATGGAAGTAGTAGTGTGGTGGTGGTTTTTATTCTTAAAAGAGGCATGCAGGAAAGATGAGGATTTTGAATATGCACAGATACAGGCTTGGTGTGGCAGCAAATGGGAAAAGATACCTACAAGAATTTTCATTTTAGTAAATACTAAAAGGATTTGGAAACTGAAGGTGATACTCATTTGCGGGTGGCAAATTTAATCTAATGGGACACATAATGATTTCCATTCCTACACAGGCACATACAGCCAGACATGGTATGTCAAAGGCAGAACTGTGGTAGGTGCAAGGGCCTCTAAGCACCTATTAGCTCCCTTCCTGGTTTGAGATCACTTTCTATGTTTCATAAAATAGACTTTTCTTGTCAAATAAACTCTTCACCTAGTTTCAAATGCTAATACATTCCAGGCTGGGAAACGAACCTTAAACTTGCATGCTACCCAGATAAAATTTACATTCTTTGGGAATTGGGAATACAGTGATTTCACAGAAAATGACTACAGCTACACTTTGCTACGCCCACTCTGGCTGCTGTTACTAAAGCTGTTTGGGCTTTAAATATTTCCTAGACTCCAACAGGAGGCCAAAGGAACTAAGCATCAGTTTTAGCATTTAAAAGATTCAAAAACAGTTATTTCCCTCAACACAAACAACAACAAAATCAGCAGATCCTCTGCTTCAGGCCAGCACATTCACGGTCTGTTTAATCACTACCATCCGTGCTGGCAAAAGAGGGTCAAACTGGGTATTTCACTCTTTCCCTGACTCTCTCCTTGCACACAGCTTAAATGTGAGGATCAGTGAACAGATGTGGCTCAGAAGTTAACAGTGCTAATTTTTAACAGAAAAAATTCTGCGTAAAGTAACCTGGGTGCCCCTTGGAAGATCTATAAAGGCAAAATAACCAACAAAGAAAGAGCAGCTTAGAGTTCCATATCCTCCTGCCCCAGATGAATTGCTATCTCCTTGCCCATTTGTTAAAAAAACAAAAAACACACACAATATTAACTTATAAGTGATTATATTTATATACAACACTTTGCATTTCTACAGCATCTATCATCCATGGACCTCCAAATGCTTTACACACACGCCTTGCCATACAAGCATATAGGCTGAAGAGAACAAAATTAACTGCTCTAGTGTAATAAATGACCGGTTACCTTAGAAATGTACACCCTTCCTGCTTTGGAAAATCCTGGGCTCAGCTCTTCAGCCTACAAAGGGGGGGGGGGGGGGGGGGGGAGAAAGAGAGAGAGAGAATGGATTCAATAGGATATCAGAAGGACCCAATTTGAACAGTTTTTTATTACAACTCAAACAGAAATGTTGCCTTTAAGACATGGGGCTGACTTACACACAGTTTGTGTATCAATTTAACTTATCTGTTTAGAAACAAATGGAGTTAAATTGGTGCAATCTCTCCAAGAGTACTTTATATCAATTTAACTTAATTAGGAACAGATCACCCCTCGGAATTCCACAAAGTGTCTGAGATTTAATGAGCAACGTTTGTGTCCTACTCTAATATTACACACTAAAAAAACTACATTAAAAAGAACAATAAGGTTGCAAAGTCATACGCTCAGAAGTTAGGAAACGCCAGAATTAAGATTGCCTGTGGAGGCCTACTTCATCCCCCTTGCGCTTAAGCATTACAAGATAAAATTCAATTTTTTGACCCGCATCAGATCGGTCTCCTCCCTCATGGGTCCCAATCTCCCCCACCCCAACTTCTAAACTCACTTCTTCCCTCTACCCCACCAGCCCCCAAGCTCATGGTTCCAAACTATTTACCACCCAGTCCACCAGCTCAAGCCCTTGTCCCTTCTTTATTCAAATGAGGCAGCTTCCTCCTCTATGCCACTTAAGCTGGGGAGTGAGGAGGGGGACAATGGATGACAATGAAAGCACAAAAGAGGCTGTCTGCCTTGCTCAGTTCTGGTGGCTGGACCCGGAACTGACCCAGCCTGCAGCAGCCCAGATTTGCAATTACAGGAAGTCCTGCTCAGCCCCAAGCTGGAACAACCTCAGAGTGGTGGATGGAGTCTTCAGTTTTTAGCTATGCAGCTTCAGTAAGTCTGAGCCTGTGCAAATTGTGATTTTTTTAAAAACGTTTAGAACATAAATTTGGACAGATTTTTAAAGGGATGGCAAAAGGCCACCCCTTGCCAAATTTCAATTCCCTGTTCCAAAACATGGGGGTGTGAGGGCTTGCCAAACACAAATCAGATTTTTTTTAAATGGGCAAATACATTTTATCCTAGCCTTGTTCTCAGAAATTAATGGACCCTATTTGGATGACATTTTCAAAAAAAAAAAAAAAAAAAAAAAACAAAAAACAAAGACAAAAAAAAAAAAAAAAAAATCCTGAGGCAGACACCCAGCATGAAAAATTTCAGCCTGAAAAGTTACAGCCCAGCAGAGTTATAAACAACTGAAAAACAGGATCTTATACACCTCTACCCCGATATAACGCAACCCGATATAAGACTAATTCGGCTATAACGCGGTAAAGCAGCACTCCGGGGGGAGGGGGTGGGGCTGCGCGCTCCGGCGGATCAAAGCAAGTTCGATATAACGCGGTTTCACCTATAACGCGGTAAGATTTTTTGGCTCCCAAGGACAGCATTATATCGGGGTGGAGGTGTAATAGGAAGTGTTGGGCAACCTTAATAGGCAGTGCTGCCAGCCCCACCTATAAATTGTAGAGTAATCGGTTCATGCATTTCTGCAACATACTTCTTTAGAGTATTCAAAAGCATTATATACCAGTACAGTCCAAATCAGGAGAGTATGTTTAACTGATTCATATCATACAGTCTCCAGCAACATTTAAGTATTAGAGCTATAAATTTAACAGTTTCCTTGCCCCCCAGATTTCAGTACCTTTAAAAGGTTCTGCAGTGCATCATGGACAGTGGCTGTAGGGGGTGCTTCATACAAGGCAGAAGCAGTCTTTCTTTCAAGCCATCCCAGATGAGCGATCTGCACAGAAACAGTAACATGAAACTATCAGCAAGGAAGTCAGTAGCCAGCACGCATCCCTAGGAATTCACACAGCATATGCAAAGCATACAGGGACATTTTCATATCCACAGTATCTGCTGCAACATCAAAGTCACATACAAAACCTTTTTGCTAACATCAGCTGACTCTGCCCAGGTACACAAATCAATCCATCTGCAGAACTTGAATTCCTTCCCCCCCGCCTCTACCACCATTTTACAGTTTTGGCCAATTAACAGTGATACAAATATGGCTCAGAATAAAATGTGTCCCCACAACTGGATTTCTATGGCTAGGAAGCTCTCTGGACTGTTTAAAATCCAATCATCACCTTATTATAACCACATTTGTTTCTGGTGACTCACCTGCACACCAGAGTAGACCCATGTTCTCCCCCTCCAAAAAGAAAAAAATTGGGGGATTAAGTCTTGTACCAGAGTATGCCTTTACCATACACACAGACCTCGAGAGGCAAGCTCAAGTCTTTCCACCACCAAATACCCTCTGAAAAGCAGGCAGCAGTATAGTTATAGTACTTACTCCCTGAAATCTCACTGTCCTGCTCCCAACTCGCTTATCCACCTGAAATAAGCCTCCAGCAGCCGTACAACTCTCTACTATAATTCCATAGAACAAGGAATTGCTATTTCAGAAAACATCTCAGAACATCTTCCCCACTATAGGACTCTCACAATATGCAGAAATCAAGGCTATTAAGGGAATGTTGTGGAGGGGGGGAAAATGTTTTTGCAACTCCAGCAGAAGAGGTAATTAACTTGGTGCCAAAGGATCAAAATCTTTGTAACCAGAGCTTCTGTCCTAAATGCACAGGCAGCGAGACAGACTAGAGCTAAATGACACAGGACCTGTGTTAGACAGGAAGAAGGACAATGAGACAGGATGCTCAGATAAGTAGACAGAAAGGGCCTCGTTTGAAATACTGACAGTACAGACAGCAGACAGTGGGTAGTGGGATCAAGCCTTCAGATGGGGACAGAACAAGGAGTAGTAATATAATATGGCTGAGTGTGAATGTCAGTACAGGCAGAATTTCCTTCTGGATATCAAAAAATCAAACTAGGTTAGCCACACTTCAGCAGCCCATCTGCAGTAAGTACGCCAATTATCTCAGCTAGAATTGTCAATGTGATTTCACTTTTAACAATAGCAAAGTACTTCCAACTCATAAATGAAGGATTGGATGGTCACAACAAACTCTTATTTCTTTTTATAGATACTAAAACTGAATGATAGTATCTCACTCCAAGCTTTGCCCTCTTGAGAATTATAAAGCAAACAATACGCTTCTAATACCTGCAACACTTTCTAGCAGAGGCAGAGGAAACACATGCATAGATGTACTGTATGCAGGAGCCTTGGCCAGCCCTGGAATATCCTTGCTCACATCTATGTGTGCTTAGATTGGAGGTGGTTTGTTTCTACTGGAGTAAAGCATGGGAAAAAGAAAGAGCATGAGCTAGTCTGCAACCAGTGCTTTTCTTGAACTATTTTCTCTTCCACTTCCCAGGGCCCCTGCAATGATTAAAGAGCTGATTCAGGGGCAGGAAACTATCCAGAATTCTGATTTTTTTTCAGTGTGAAAGCATTACTTTTAGCAAAGTGATTGCGTTTATCTGCCAGCTGGCAGAGATACAGAGGAAAAAGAGGGGAGCAGAATTATGTAATCATTATCACCAAAGCTTAGAGGCAAGAAAGTCAGTCGCTTTCACTCAACATCAATGGTAAGAAAGAAGAGGTCCAGCAAGTACTTTAAAAGCTCTTTACTGATGCAAAGGGCAAGTACTCCGTAACAGCAGGAACAACTGGCCTTGCCAAACTGAGCCACCATTCCCCAAGCTCTATTTTAAAAAGAAATCTAGCCAATTGCATTCTAATATCATGGATCCTACTCCCTGACTTTTGATCATTAGTCCTGGACCAATGCATGGAAAAGGTCTACTTACTCCTGCAGGAATTCTGCACCATTGTGTGTGTGCAGAATTCATATTAATGCAGATTTCTTTGCTTCCCTTCAGAAAAAATGACTTTGACGGGGAAGCCCTAAAAGCGGTCGCGCGCCCCTCCCCAGCAGCACGGGCATGTCATTTTAGGAGCCTGGAGCAGCTGGCAGAGGTGTAAATCATTGCAGCAGTGGCAGCTGGAGGGGGCGGGGGGAGAGAAGAGGAAGTAAAGTACACCCCCATACCCAGATCCCCACATCGAGCCTCAGCAACCAGAAACCCCCTGCCTCACCCCCTGCACCCGAACCCCCACCTCACCAAGCCTCACCCCTGCATCTGGAGCCCCCACGCACCCAGAGACCCCACTGAGCTGCACCCCCCAAACCCAGACCTCCCCAGCCTCACTCCAGCCGGTGGCGCCTATCCTGCGCCGGGCTCAGCTGCTAGTCTTGGCTGGGCTGGAAGAGGATGAGGAGTGTACTTTCCCTGCATGGGAGCGGCCGGGGCTGGGTCAGGCCCACTCCCAGAAACCTCACTGAATCTACACCCCTCAGACCCTGCTTCCTGCCCCCATTGCTCCTCAGCAGCAGGGGGAGGGGTCAATATGCAGGGAGCTGCTCTCCCATCCCCCAACCTTCCCTGCATGCGGATCCCCACCCCTTGCAGCATACCCCCTGCCAACCCCTATCCCCCTGCATCCGGACCCGCCCCGTCAAGCCCCTCTGCACTCAAACCCCAACAATCCCCATGCTCCTGGACCACTCCACAGCCCCCCACACCTGGATTCCTCCCCACCCCCCGCTGAGCCCCAACCAGCTGCACCTGGACCCCCACCTCACCAAATCCCCCTCCCCCAGGCTCCCCCGCTCCACTGAGCCACAATCACCTTTACCTGGACCCCCCTGCAGAGTCCCATTGCCACTGCACCTTGAACCCCCCCAACCAGCCCCTGTGCATCTAGATCTCTCCCTCCCCAACCCGTACTCTCTCACTGAGCCGCCTGCACCCAGATTGCCCCACACAGAGCCCCTCCACACCTGGTGCGCCTGGCGCAGGGTTGCTAATCCTGGTGAATTGCTTCACCTGCTACTCCTGAGGGGAATTCTGCACCAAAAAAATAAAAATTCTGTGCACAATATTTTAAAATTCTGCAAATTTTGTCAATAAATAAATGTGGAGGCTCCAGCATGGCAATGGGGAACACAAGAGGTGGGAGATCATCCTGCAGCCCTCCTCCCACACTCCGGGACATGGACCTTTGGGGCAGGGACATGGACTTTGCACTGCATCAGGGTTAGGTGCAGCCTCACTGCACAGTCTGTGTCTGGGGAGGTTGCAAGGTGATCTCCCACCTCTGTGCAGCCAGTGGCCTGTGCTCCCCACTGCCATGCTGGAGCGTCCATGTTTATTTATTGACAAATAAAATTTGCAAAATATTTAAATTATTGTGTGCAGAATTTTTTTTTGGAGGGGTGGGGGGCGCACAGAATTCTCTCAGGTATATCTACTGGTTTTGAAAGCATTTGCACTCAACATTCCCTCCCACATGATTGTGGTAACTGAGCTCTCATGAGCTGCTTGAAACTGCTTTGAAAAAATGATTTAACAATTAAAAGCTTGGATTCCAAGTGGTAAGATAGAAGAAGGCATTGATTTATAGCGCTAGCAGTTAGAGAGAAAGATTGCTTAAATCACAGGTATTCAAGTGGAAGAATAACACAGATGGGAATCTGAATGACAAATTCTATGGTTAGGTATGTTGTGCCCTGGCAGGCCTTAAACATTAATGCATTAACTCATTTGCAAGCTGGGATGCCAATCATATGAGAACATTCATTTGTAGTCCTTACGGTATGAAAGATTTCTGAACTTCAAGTATATCACACTTGAGTTAGTGTTTTTTAGCACTGTTCCAGGACTGAATATAGGAAGCCCTGGACCTCCCATAAGGATAATTTTCAATCTATATGTACAAACAGGGAACTTAGGAAACTAGGCCATTTCTGTGAGGGTGTATTAGGGTTTTCTAATGCAATATGCAAATTCAACAATTGAATAGAATTCCCCTAAGACTTATGGCTGTTGGATTGAATTCCCCATCATTTTCATGTAAATGGAAGATCATCTTCCAGAGAAGAAAAAGATAAGAAGATTTAGAACATCCAGGAAATCAGGAGTACAGGCTGAAGAAAGCTATTTACCTGGTAACACCACCTGCCCAGAAGATAGTAAGACTTGGGGTCATCTGGTTTCAGGGCAATTGCTTTATCAACATGTTCCTAAAGAAAACCAGAGCCAAGAGACAGAATTAACTTATGATAAAATCATTGTAGTTCATAAACAGATTGGGGGAGGGGGAGAAATCAATGACGCAAGTGCCACTGCTGAATAAAAATCATGGTTGGAAAAGTTCTATTTTAAGCAAATATAGTAAACTCAAAAAATGTTGTTTTCATAGCCTTCAAAAACTGAAGTTATGTATTTGTCTACCAGCATGGGCATCAACAGTGCAGGCCTCCCGCTCATTATTCTGCCAACATCTCCTAGCCTGGAAGCAGAGGGGCTGCTACCAAGGGTGAAAGGATATTTCTTTTTCCGTGCCCATTCAATCCTTAGCTTCTTCGCAAAGTGGTGGTGGTGGTGAGATTTTGCAGAGTAAAAACTGGACTAAACAACTCACTCATTTCACACAGGACAACTCTAAGACTGGACTGTTGTCGTTTTCTTCCACAATTCAGGCCACCTACCTTTTGAATCCCTCCATTGGATTCTTATAATTTAGCACATAAAATTCCAAACCAATCTTCCTTGCTTCCCACCCTAGAAGCCAGCTCTGAATAAAACTCGCATATATGAAGCAGCTGCTCTTTACTCACCTTAAAAACATACCCAGCTTGAATACGCTTCTGAATACTTTCATGTTCTGAGAACTGGCCACAAAGAATAGCATACCTACATAGAAACAAGTCCACAACAAAAAGTCACATATTGTCACAATTCCCAATAATGGTTTACACTTCCTTCCAAAGATCTTAAAGGGCTTTACAAACATCAGTTAAGCCTCACAACTTTTCTGTGAAAAAGGGAAGTATGATACATGTTTTCCAGATTGAGAAATAAAAGCACGAGAAAATCAGTGACTTGTCCAAGGTGTGCAAACAACTCAACAGAACAGTGACTAGATCTCAGGAGTCCTGACTTGAGTCCCCTTCTCAACCACCAGACAACATTTCCTCCATGTAAGAAAGAAGAATAGCATACTTATTTTTCAACATGCTCCCTCTTCCCTTGTCAACCAAACAATGTCAAAATACTGGCACTAGGGTAACTGAAGAGTGAATAGCAACACTAACACGTTATTAGGTGGATGACTATCCATGCACAAGCGAAGACGTGGAGCTTGCTGAAGGAGGTATGGAATCCTACTTTGAGTAAAAAGATATTCTTAAAAGTATGCCCACCTCCCTTAGCCAACAGCACCTCCACACCTAGAAAACAAAGATAGCAAGCATTTTCAATGATCCAAGCTCAGGCTAGTGTAGTTAATAGCTAACATGAAGCCATTTAGTTTATGCCCCAAAACTGACCCGTAAAGAAGCTAGTAATTTTAGACTCCTCTTATAAACAAATTAACAAAAAAGATGGAATCTAGATTACAATTTCATTGGCAGCCATTTTTCAATAGCTAAAGTTCTATTTGCTCAACTATGCTGATAGATACTCTGCCCTCTCACCTTACCGTCCGAGTTCCTTGAACTAACCTTGGTGCTGTTAATCCTGGCAGTTGTTCGTAATGCTGTGTCACAAAAATCTTTTGAATCTCTGTTTAAAGTCATGACTAATTTAGGTCGCAAAGCTTTGCTTCCCCTATTGCTCCTGCCCTTCCAAATGCTTGAACTAACTTTTCAAGGTGCCAACTATGATGCAAAGTAAGTTCTGTCTTCTTTTCTGCTTCTTCCTTTTTCAAATTCCTTTCAGCCACTGCCAGCAACATACATCTGACTAATAGCACTTCTACATCTACTGCTAGTAACATCAATTCCCAACTAGGAGAGCATGCCAGGCTCCTTCAGTGCTAGTAGAGGGATTAGTCAAGAGAAGGACTGCATATTCAGAATACAGGATTGTTCCCAAGATGATACTGTATCTATTTTACAGAACCTGAGTGTAAGGCATGACCCAATTTTGTACTTTGAACATCAGAATGATAAATGTAGAAGTTAGAATTAAGACGTTTCCATACTCTGGTCCAATACTGAAGTTCTGATTTCCATTGCTAATTCCAGACATCAGTAGAGTAATGCCTTATTGGATGGATTCCTGGTCCAAACTGGAAAAGCAGTGGCAGCACTCCGCCACGCTCCACCCAATGGAGATGCCACTCGCAGATGTTTGAAATATGAGTGTGCATATTCTGCTGGGCTCCTTGGGTTTGGCTCCTACTCAGTAGCATATGGATACACCCATGAACAGGGCTGGATTATAATTTAGGAACAAGAGGCACATGCCTAGGGCATCAGAATCTGAGCTTTTTTCCCCTTAAAAAATAAACTAAATAAAAATTCTAGCTCTAGTGGTTGTGAAGAAAAGCTCCGAAACGTGACTACAAAGTGTAACTAATGCAGGCATGTCTGCCTGAGTTTGCAGATAGCTTCCAGCAGAGGGAGGAGCAACAGCTACTAGAGCCAGTGGAAGCCATTTGGCCCTACAGCTACCACCAGAACAGACCATACTCCACAAAGGTTTCGGAGGTCAGGGAACTGGATACCTCTAGAGCCCAGGCCCAGGCCTAGGCCTGTAGAGCTACCAGTCACCTGATATCTCCAGGCTGCTACCCAGTGGCAGCCATAATCAACTTGCACTCCACTTCCCAGGACCTGCTGTGAACACAGATCATAGAAAACTCCACCTCAAGGGTTTGACATACAGCAGGCCCATAGCGCCTGATTGGCTCCCTGCCCTATATAAACCCACAGACATTCCAGGATGTGTCCAGGCAACAGTGTGAATCTTCTGTAGCTATCATGACTGTTCCTGCTCCTTGCTCTTGAACTTCTGGCTTGATCTCAGCTTGATTTGGACTTTGTCTCCTGATTCTGACTCTTAGTATTGACCCTGGCCTGGACCAGACTACAAACTCTACTGCTGCTCCCAGCCTCTGTTTTTCCTCTGCACTGACCCTTGGCCCTGACTGCCCTTGTTGGGATCTTGACACACTGGGTTCCATTGATCCCCTCTGGCTTTTCGACTTCATGGATCATAAGGAAGAAAAAAAATTGTGGTACTCCAAGTGCCACCCACTCATGGCAGCGAAACAGACTGTGCAGATCTTCATAGTATGGCTGTCCCGCTCCTTCTCACATGTTTTGACGAACATAGTGAAATAGTTAATGTTTGACATTTAAATCACCATTGGGCATCTGAGTAATCATTCTGCTGAGATGAATGGGGGAAATCATCCTTCTCAGAGATTTTGCAGAGAACCTGAAACACTTGGGTAGGCATTGCTGCACTGACTACACCCAGGTCAGATTTTAAAGGTTTTATTAACAGCCATAGAAGCTAAGAATTACTTCATTTTTTAAAAAATGAAGTATGACATTTTGAACAAGATGACAGCCTCAAAACACCCACCTACCCCACCCTGGTCACTAACCCAGTCCAATTAGAGCCCTGTGTGAACTCTGCTAGACAGCTACACAGATTTCAACTTGTGCTGTATTCAGCTGCTAGTATTATTACCTATACCAGGTGTTTTCAATACACGTCAAGGGACTGGACTAGATGACCTCTTGAGGCCCCTTCCAGTCCTACAATTCTATGATTCACCTGACCTAAGAAATCTGTAAACTGTGTTGCTATAATATTGCTTATGTCAATAAAATTAACAGAGAATAGAGAATTAAAAACTATGTATTAAGAGATCGCTAAATTGGCTCTTGATTACGATCCCAGTATTAAAGACAATTGGCCAAACCTAGCTTGCACATCTTAGTTTTATACTGGAACCTCCTATTCCAAGTTGTGCCTTGAGTTCCAGGGGTGTCAGCCTGTTGGTGATTCTTAACTATCAGTAAAGCTATTTCAGAGTCTTCTCATTGTGCCTTTTAGATCTGGAATTCCCCTCCTCAGTCAAGTTTGCAATGCCAATATGGTTTCTGCTTCATCTCTTTCATTTGTTTAATTTGGCTTATTCTTCAATATATGAACTGTTCGTTTTAATTCATTTTGCAAAGTGCCTTGGGATGCACTTTGAGAGGCTGTACAGAATAATAAGAGGATTGACTAAGTGTGATAAGAGACTAAAAAAAATAAAGAGTTAGAAGAGGGGATTTTCATCTCCTGTAGACATTAGGTAATATCTGAAATACAGCATGAATTAGAAAGTCCCATTTCAGACAGCTGTCTAAGCAGTTCCTGAAATTTTGCAGTATGCCACTTGCAGCACTAATTATTAACCAGAACTGTTCATTAAGCTGTTGACCTGGGTCAAACCACAAGCTTCCACAGGGGTCTCAGCAGGATAATGGGTTCTCCATTTGCTGGGAAATGAACTCCGGGGATCAGGAGTGACTGATACCATAGGCAGGAGACACACACATATACATATACACACACACACACACACACATATGCCCTCCCTACTCAAGTTCCAGAGTTCAGGTCACATGGCTGCCTTAAGACCTCACTTCCAACACTGCACTTTGGCAGACTCCAATTTAAGCAAGACTTTTGCCCTTGTAGGCTGACAGAATGTAAAATATACAGTTCTTCACAGCCCAGCACCTCCAAAGTGGCATTTAGGGGGTCATGCCAACCAAACAACCCCCTTATCTTCCTCAACTGATAGGCCTTTGACATGGCTACACTGTGTTTGGTGGTTCCTTTCAACACAATGCAGACAGTAAATGTAAAAAACTAAATGGGGGAGGGGAGATGTGGGGTCGGAAAACTGTTTCTAATCAAAATGATAATGAAGTGGAACAGAGTAGGTCATTTTATTTTGCCAAGTGAGGCTTGAAGTCTGAAACTCAGATAGGTGACCATTACAACAATGGGAAAGAACTTTCCTTTTATTTATTTGAACTAAAAGAACTGCTCTGTGTACTTTGAAGAGTCATCAACAAATACTTTTATTCCTATTAACATTGCACGAGTCAATATAGCTATGGAAGAATGAACAGTATTATATTTCTCATCTAACTCACAGGGTACAGTAATTTAGAAGTGCAAATTTTTTATTATTATAAATCCTCCCAAAACAATCTTTGGATCCCTGCCATTTCCCAGGCTGATGAGGTTCAGGAGTACTCTGGAGGCAGGGCTTTTGGCTTTGGGGAAGGAAATTGAGATGGCCATGCTTTGAATCCCTCAGATTTTAAGGAGAGCTACAATCATTCTTCCTAGGATGGAAGAGTAATGGCAGCGACACAAATGTTTGAGAGTGAAGAATGTAAAAGGGCAAGGGAACAGAAAGTTCAGGAACTCAATAGGGATGGACAAAGCCTACATCAGTGTTACGAGAAGCTGACATAATTAGGATAATTACAATGGGGTTGAAAATTGTGATTTAAAATGCAGTTTTATAACATTAACAACCAGCCATATAAACCTCACTTGAACTCAAATGGATCTTTAAGAAAGAAACCCTAGAGAGGTGTTCTATTACTCAGCATGACCGCTTGTAAATCCTACCACCCTTGGGAGACTGCACTGGGAGTTCCCAGTACTGCTGGTTACAAGAAGAATTTGAACAGCTAGTAATTAGTGGTGAGTTTGCAGGTCTGGCTCCAGTTAAAAAAAACGCTCACTTTCTTTCTCTCACAAGTTGCTGCACTGGCCAGGTAAAACAAGGAGGAAAGAATTATAGTACTGAAACACTGCCAACTTTGTGGAAGATCACATGTCTTCAGCACCACTGGGGATTGCCAAAGGCAGGAAAATGAATCAGC